TTCATATCATACAAAAGTGGAAGCTGTTTTTATACTGTTTTTGTTGAGTTATGAAATTTTTAGTACTCATTGATTTCATTTTTGTGAGGTTTTTAGGCATTCCAGGACTTTAAAATTCGACAATTATGTCATCTATCTCATTGTTTCAGCCTTGGATATAATTTAGGAAAATTTTTATTTCAGGATGAAATTAATTTAAATGTAAATTGAGGTGATCTTATGCCAACCGTATATACTAGCCTAGGTTATGATGTATCTGTAAATAATTGTTGGGATGCATGTAATCAGGAGTGACCTGAATAAAATTTATTTCGTTTCATTTTTGTGACTTTCGCGAACTTGTGAGTTCCAATTTTGCAGTTTAAGTGTGCTATCTTATTTTAAGACGGTTAAATTTTCACTTTTTTGATCAATTTGAGGCAGGGTTGAATATTCCGCCAACATAAGCTCTTGATTTTAATAAAAAAGTGTGTTAAAAATTGAATTTTTAAAAAATAAATCTAGTTTGCTTGCTGATTTTGTGAAAATTCCAGAAACTAAAATCGTTTTTTTAACAAACAACGGACATTTTAAGAAATTATTTGAACTTATCAGAATATAAGTGCAAACATATTTTTAATTTTCTTATAATATTCTCACAAGTTACTGCAAATAAAAGGATGATTTTACCAAGTTTCCTTTGGCCACTCAAAGAGTATTTTCCACAACGTATGTTTCTTAAATTACAAGTTTTGTTTTGCTGCACAAGTTCCTTGAATAGAAAGATTGATCACACACGATCTAATTTTACAAATCATTTATAACTCAAATAACATATCACAATTATCTCCATCACATAGTTAAAATGTTAAAAGCAATAAAGTAGTACTAGTAGATTAGCAGTGCAGAAAAGAAAAAGATGTACAGATTAGATTTATTGTGATTCTACACCGGCTGCTTATGTTCACGTCTCGTGTCCTATGAGATTTCATTAGTCTCTACTTTAGTCATCACAAGGCAGTGAAACTACTCTCCTACATTGGTAATAGAAAATTTTTATACCATCTCTTCTATTTCAAGTGAACAGCTTGCTATAGTTCATCGGTAAGGCAAACCAAGTTTACAAGAATCTTAGAGATTTAAGATCTCTTACAAGAACAATTCTACAGCTCTCAACCATCCAACCATTTAAACTATGAGGGTCAAAAGGTATAGAGAAGATGAAGATAACCAATGGTGCTTATTTGACAAGAAAATAGCAGAGTTTTATCATTTTACTAACCAAAGATATTTTTATGGGAAATCTCTTTTCTCTGTTCTCATTCCTGAAGCAATGTCTCAAGTTTAGAGTTTTACCAAAATTATATTTTATATTAAGGCATGGGCTTATAACCCTTATTCTATGTAAAAGAAAAAAAAAAATACAATGCTGGTTATTGTATGATATGATCTACCTCAGATATATTTGTTTTAGATCATCTTCTTATTTCAGCAATTAAGTAGATTAAGTAAAGAAACCTAGCATATACTACCATCTATTTAAAATTTGAATTAATCTAATTATGGAATCTGAAATGTTTAGTTTGGTGGTGATAATGATGTTGATTGTACAATACCACTAGTTCAAGTATTAGAGGGGGATATTGAAGGCTATAACTAGACATCATTATCTAAATTAAGATTGATTTTGTACTAGTTAAAGTATTAGAGGTAGGCATGATTATCTAAATTAAGATTGATTTTCTTGATTCATTTTTTTTGTATTTTTAGGATGTTTTTTCCATGTAACATTTGAATATAAGTTATTAGATGACTTCAGAAAATAGTTTGTTTATTACTTCTTGGTTTTATTTGTGTTTCCTGATGGGGAAAAAAATACTGTTGAACGATATGGCTTGGTTTAAGTTTCAAATCTATCTTTAATAGTTGTCTTATATGCACCCACGTTAACTTCCAGTCTATTGTTTGCCAGTAAGTTCATAAGTGATATGAAGTACAAGGTTACAAATTTTCTTTATCATTTTGCTTTTTATATGACCAATCCTTGGGGAAGATGATTGGTAGCATTGAGCAGAGGAGTGTTTATTATCTCTCTAGCACATTCATCATCTCTCCTTTAATATTCCATCAAACAGTAGTTTGACTATCTGATACCGGAATTAACCCAAACAATGATTGGAAAACTAAATATTATTGCTGAATTCAAAATAGGAAAATACAATCTTATAAACGCAAATAGAAATAGCAACAAACACGGTACAAATACCTATAGGAATGTATCCCAAAGAAACGGTGAGCTTGTTATCCTTTTCTTTTAAGTTGGGCAAGAAATGTCATCAACTTGACATAAAAGATGTTTTTCTAAATGGTGAGTTAGAAGAGGAAGTTTACATGAAAATATCTTGATGCTTTAAAGAGGAAATGGGAACATTTGTAAACTAAGAAATTTTTCTATGGTATAAAACAATCTCCTCATGCTTGGTTTATCAGATTCAGTTTCCCTCTAAATTGTTTAGGATAGGAACTAGGATCACACAGTTTTCATAAAATTTTAAAACAAAGGAAAGAAATCGATATTAATAATATATATTGATGACATTGTGATTTTAAAAGATTATCAAGTGGAGATGTATAAGTTAAAAAGAAAGATGAGTGAGAAATTTAAGGTAAACAACTTAGATACTTTATACTATGTCCTTGAGATGGAGATTTATTGGAGTAAAAAAAAATACTTTTTATTTCTCAACAATAGTACCCTTGATCTACTTGTTGAATTAAGAAAACTTGTGTGTAGACCAGTTGAACGCCACTCGAAAAAAATATTTTATTTAAAAGAAGAACAATGATATTCCTTTTGTAGAAAATGAAAGATGGCAACGTTCTTTAAGAAGACTCATATATTCTTATTTAAGTGTGTCAAGCTAATATTTGCGCTTTCCTAATCAATGACACCTTAAGGTTGAAAATCACATACCAAGGCACCTTTAACACTGACTAGGAAAAGGCTATATAAGAATGAGAAAAATTATAGATGTTTTTGTGGATGAAGATTGAAGATAAAAAATTTATCACCGGATAATACACAATATTATTAGGTAAACTAATGACATGGCAAAGTAAAGGACATTGTGGTGGCTTGTAGTGTTTAGAATAAATTTTAATCTTTTTCTGATGGAGTTTGTGTGGTTATTTGATTATAAAGGTCAATTGAAGATCTTCAAATTTAAATTCTTCCACTTAAGTTATCTACAGTGATAGTAAGAGCCATTAATATTGTACAATAGTTCTATTTAGCTTGATGGGATGAAGCAAGTAAGGATTCACCATTGCTTTATTAAATGTGAGATCGAGAAAGGAGTATCTCATTTGAATTATATTCCCACTCATTCTCAACAAGCTGATATCCTTACCAACATACTAAACAAACCTTCTTTGTGAAGGTATGATTGAAAAGGTTGGAATGATAAATTTCTATTTCTATGCTTGAGGGGATGTACTAGGAGATTTGGAAGGGATTCTCAGTATTTATGTGGAATAAATTCAAATAATACGAGCAAGGAAGGTGTGATGGCTGCATGGGCTGTCTGAAATCTGGTTAGAAGGAAAGAAAATATGCATTCAAGTCTCTTAAGTTTTCTCAATTTTTCCTGGCACATTTCAGCGATCATTTCTTTTCTTTAGGAAGAAATGATTATTGGCTTTAGGAATATGGAAGGCTATAACTAGCAATCATTGTGTAAATTATGATTGATTTTATTTCAATTTTTTTCTGTGTTTTTTTTTCTGTATAAAATATCATTATAAATTTTTTAATGAAATAAGAAAATAGCTTTTTTCTTCCTCGCTTGCTTTGTTCATTTTATATATTGAATGAATTTTAGAAATTACAATCTTATTTGAAAAGGTGATGTTTTTGAGACTTCTGTTGTTTGGTCTCGTCTATTTAGTGCTTCTAAAGATTTATTTTAGAGTTTTAAAATATTTTCTTACATTCTATTGAGTTAAACTAGAGAAGAACGAGATAGTTATGGAGAACCGAAGTTTTGAGCCTGGGCTTGTTAAATTCTCATACCGTTTAGTTCAATGTTTAGAAAATCCTGTTTTTAGAAAGCTGATTAAACTCTACATAGTATTTTGAAATACATAACGATAATGACTTATTCATGGGACATTTAAATCTATCTATCAGAAATATCAAGATCTTTAAGCTTAGTACATGATACATACACGTGTCACTGAAGTTAATTCTTGGTTCTAGAACATACCATGAAATGTACATATTGCATTAATATATCAAAAGATTAAAAAAATTACAAAATGGGCCATGCCTTACAAAATATGGGCCTGGTCAAAAGTGATGAAAGAAAAAAAGGAAGTGAGAACTATCCACACTCCTAACAAAAAAAACTATCAAGTATAGCATTTTGAGCACCTGAATGAGCAACTATATTTTTAGATTTAGTACATACCTAGAGAATGGGCATTGCATGTTTTACTGTCCATCAACTCGACTATGAAGCCTTACCAAAAGTTTTTTTATTCTGTTTCTACTTTCGAGTTGTTCACTGATGAACAACCCAAACAAACATTAACATAGAAGGTTTGGTTGTTCATTCTGACTAATATCTCTTGATATTGGTGGTATTTGCATATATGATCCAGAAATCTTAATGTTTTGGTTTGGAACTTAATTTTTTCATATCATCATTCTTGGTTAACATCAGTATTGCTGATTTGATAATTTTGAACTAAAACATTTTTCTATTGACTAAATTTGTCGGACCTTGTTCCATTTTGTTTAAAGAGCTTTTTTTTTTTTTGGATAATGTTCCATCTCCAGTTGTTATTTTATATGGTCGTGTGCTGGTGTGATTATTTGTTTCATTTGGGTTAGTCTTATTGCTGTCGTATCTAAATCTTCTCTTATATTTATTTGATCTAATATATCTTTCTCTTCAGCACTAAATTGTTTTCAAAAGTCTGTCATCTTTTGCATGCTCATTATTGAATTTTTGTTGCAGCTTTGCTTATTCTCATAGGAATGTTTTTGGGAGAAATCAGAAGCTCAACCTTTCACTAGAAAGGGGGCAAATTGATTCCATCTTTCGAATAAATTATAGTGATCCATGGATCGAAGGAGATGACAAAAGAACGTCTAGAACTATAATGATTCAGGTAATCTGTGGATTCTTTCCATCTCAATGGGTTGGTAGTGATGCCTTTCTTTTCTTGTTACAATAACCTTTTATTTTTACCAGAATTCAAGGACTCCAGGAACTATTGTCCATGGGGGTCAACAATCAGGCCATAGCAGTTTGACGATCAGACGAGTTACTGCTGGAATTGAATTAAGTCGCCCAGTTAGACCCCAATGGAGTGGAACAGTTGGTATAATATTTCAGGTAACGGCCATTTTTTATTTCTTATGTTCGTGACATTCTATGGTAATGTTTACCTCTATCTTTTTTGTAGAGCTTGTTTGGCAAATTCTCCAAATTTCTGCTGGGCATATTATACGCGAAATTTTTCATCTTTTTAGAAATTTTCCTGCAGCAAATTCTGTTAAAGCATTAAGGGTCATAAATTTGCTTACACTATGAGATCATCTTTTTAACACCAATTTAGCCTACAAAACCAACCTTTTAGGGCATACCTAACTACAAACAATAACGTAAACAGTGGAAAAATAAACTCATCTGTTTTTGCCATAGAACTTTGTTATGAAATTGACACTCAAATTCCTGCTCAACAGAAGTTACCTTAAACATTCAAAAATAGTCTTATGGGTGAGCTAACCACAACTTTTAGTAGGAATCATCTCAACTTTGAATACTCATACTAGGGTATTGTATATCACTCCACTTCAACCAATTTATTTGTATTGGCAATCAACATAGATAAAATATGTGATGATATTATTAACGATAATTTGACTTGAATAATATGCTCAAAACAATAGGACACATTTGTATGACAAATGAAATTGAATTTCCCTTCCACTTAGATTAAAGGTGCATGATCATTCTTTTTCTTCATGGATAACATAATTACTTTATGTCGTTAATGATATCAATCACCACCATACTAACTTACAAATAGGTTAATATATCAATCAACAAATGATTAGTCTGGAATTTTCGAAGTTGTTATGTGAGGTATATGTTATATTTACTTTTATTTATGTCACATCCTATTATTCGCTTCTTGTTGAACTAGATTTTCCTTATTATCAAAAAAATATACAACTGTCACACTTCAACTTGACACCCTTAAGGGTCAACTTTGGTGCAACAGAGACAGACGATATGTTTCGATTAAATTATCACTAGCACTTATCCTAACTTGTAGAATCTGGGCTCATTGGGTGATGAACTAGTTTAATTAAATCATCGCAAACTTACTTGATACACCTCATTTCATTCTTATTGAAATATAATGAGAAGGGTGGAAAATCATATCACCAAAATATATATATCTATTCAGAGCAGCTAAATCAAACGTAATAAAAGTACGTACCTAAAGTCAGTAGAAGCTCCAAAAATTATGCAATGAAGTTGTAAAAGTCGCACATGTTTACTCACCCTTATGCTCCTTACTCATTCTTAAAAGTTAATAATGCAGAGTGAGCAACAACGATCTCAACAAAATAATCAAGGAGAAAAACAAGATTTTGTAGATGAAAAAGAAAAAACGTGCATGATCATATGTAATCTATGTACATGTTCACAACATATTACACAACATATTATAAAGGTATAAAATATGAAAAGGAAATAGAAGTAATGCAGAGAATCATGACTGCTGTTTAAAATATGTATTTCATCAATTCATATGTAATCATAAACATGTAATCCTAAGCATATTCATAAGTCATAAATTCAATCATTTGAATGTCACTTGTAATTTATAGACCTCAGTTATTTTCTTGTCATGTTCATCCAGCCCGAAGATTATGTTAACTATTGATAAAGGTTAAGCCCCCCAACGTAGCAATTATCAATGATCCCCTTGGTACCAATGGTTTCCCACGTTCTCTCGTCATCTGATCTCAACATTTATCAGAGTTTCGTCAACATCTAATTGTTAGGAGTTGGGAATCTCATCGTTTCTTATCTTTTATAAATGCAAGTATTCATGTAATTGTCCACCTATAACATCACTTGTGAAATGTAGTAAATCATAATTCTTGTAACAAACATTCATCATAGGCATTTCATATCATATACATGAATCATAGTAAATAACTACCTGTGAGCAATAATTTCATAAGCATGTTCATTAGATTTATGACATAGTAAAATCATGTATCATAAGAGATAAGTCAAATTTGCATTCATGCAGTCTATGCAGATATTCATCCACAATATATAAATAATTTTAAATACAATAATGTCATTACTCAATCACATTAAAATTTACAAATTTATTATTCTTAAATTAACACGAGATTATTTCACCAGAATTGACAGAGCAATCCTACGATGAGTTTTCCCAATATCTCATCAAGCTTGCCACCTAGTGTAAATAACATAAAATCATAATTCTTTTAGCATTATTAAAAATATTTTAAATTAAACCTTGATTTACTTGCCAATTTTATTTTTAATTATTTCTTACCTCAATTTGCTCTTTCTCCTTCTAAACTTACTCTTTTCAACCTCTAACTCCCAGAAATAATCTCTCCCTGTCCTTCACCGCAATAGTTCCCAACAATAAAATAATTAAATAAATGAAATATTTAATGAAATCCATTAAGTATACTCACTTTCAGTAAAATAATATATATCTGTGTGTGTGTGTATAGTACGAAAGACTTGGCTCATTGATGCGGCCTCTGACATAAGTTCCTCGGGTCGGGGGTTCGAATCTCGTGGTGCGGGCTTTTCAAATCAGAATCAAACACACTGGATTTTCACCTATATAGGGGAATCGATATTTGGTGCCCACTGGAACAAATATCAATTTCACCTTTTTTATTTTTTAAAAAAAATTATATATATATATATATATATATATATAATTCTTTAGCTGCTTACCTTTATATTCCAAAATCCCTCATAATTTTATTCTATAACACCTCGCAGGCTACTACCTGAGAACAGTTTGATTACATTATTTTACAGTTCACAGTAGAAATAAGGATAGAATGGATTATATGGGTCTAAATAATTACAGATAAAAGTATATAAATATCTATATAAATATACATCTCATATTAATCTCCCAACTTCATCATCAAATTCTTCCCATAATATTGAAAAAGAGAGAAACTAGTTGTCTGTTTCATTGCTCCAAGCCAGGCCCCACGCCCTTCCGTCGATACATTGATATCTCGCAATCAAAAGATGCAAAAAATGGGGTAATGTTTTAAAATTATCCAAATTTTGATATTACAACATCTTCATCCATTGTCGAGGATTGACTAACATCACCTTTGATAGATCCTAAAAAAGTTTTCTAGTGTTATTATTTGATCTCTAAATGACTTACATGCATGTTTGAATACTTTTTTTTTGTTTTTTTTTGTTTTGGTTTTCGGAATTTTGAGAAGTGCATCATATGATTTTAGGCGTAGATCGAGTTAAGTTTTTCATAAATCTCAATTTTCTAATTGACAAGGGTAAGTATAGGGGATAGAGATTCTTTTTAGGAATAAGCTTTGATGTTTAATTATATTTGTTCTTTTAGATAAAGAACACTTGCAATTGAGGATGTCTATGTTTTCTAGAAAGGAAGTTGTTTGCATTTAGATTAGGGAGGGTGAATGGTTGGTCAATCCAATCAAGAGCCCTTCGTTATTTTGCTAGGTTAATTTATTGGACCCAACCTACTAGCGTTGAAGGGCTTAAAGGCGTGATTTTCAAGAATGTTAATTAGTAGTCATTGATTATTTTCACTGGAGCATCCTTAGCTAATTGAAGCTATAATATGCTAAAGGACATATCCTCTCATTTCTAGTGTTACAACCCAGCTTGAGGCTTGGAGTTAAGCAAGATGGGAATGGATGGTTGGCAGTCGGACGGTAGAAATTAATTCTCTGCTATTTTATTTCTTCACTAATAATTTAATATTTAAATAATATACAAAAGAGTCGCCAAATAAAATAACTAAATTAATCAGTTAAAAATTATACCTTTCTGTTTGTTTTTTTTGCCTCTTGTATACATTTACTCATCAATTCATCTAGCTCAAATGTTTAAAACCTAAAAATAATACTAAAATAATATAATGAGTATCTAAATGTAACCCATGAGTAATTACACTTTTAAACTACAGTTATCCAAGGAAAAAAATTCAATTTGCTTGTAGGGCTATTAGAAATCTTATAATATGTTGATCTTTCATAATTTTATAAGCAATATAATCTATGCAAATGCATGACTTTTTCTTAATAAAAGTACTCATTCTTCTGTAAACAATCACTTTAACTTCTATTTTATAATTCACATACACATCTGTCTCCGTGAGGATCACCGTCAACAAACGTAACACCCCATTAAACGATGTTGCGCGATCGACTTCCATCGGTATAACGGTTAGCGATCAACACATCGTAATTTTTTAGGGTGGAAAGATCCTTGTTTCTGACTAATATTATTCCGTCAATACAACAGTTAGCAATCTAAACATCACAATTGTATGTGGAAGTAAACACTCGTCTACTTTTCCCTGACCTATATTAGTCAATCGGCGTAACAGTTAGTGATCTAATCATCACAATTTTCCGGGATAATATAAAAACTCTACGCTCGCGAATACACTTGTGTTTCTTGCCTGTACCACGAAGGGGTGAAATTCTTCTCTGAACACGCTACAACAACAAAGCCTTAATCCCACTACGTGGGGTCGGCTACATGAATCCTTTTTCTCCATTGCGACCTATTTAGTGTCATATTTTCATTTAGTTCTAGTAATTTAAGATCATTTTTAATACAATAAGCCTAAGTTTTCCTAGGTCTACCTCTGCCTTTCTTAACACAAGTCGAATCTAAAACATCTACTCTCCTAATCAGATCATCAGATGGTCGATGTCTAATGTGACCAAACCATCTAAGACGAATTTCTCTAATTTTGTCCGTCACAGGAGTTACACTAACCCTGTCACGAATATATTCATTTCGCATTTTGTCTCTAAGTGTAAAGCCACTGATCCACCTAATCATTCTCATCTCGGCAACACTTAACTTATTATTATGCTTCTCTTTTAAAGGCCAACATTCAACGCCATAGAGCATTTCTGACCACCGTCTTATAAAATTTTCCTTTCAGTCTAAGCGGTACTCTTCTATCACACAAAAGGCCTGAAGCATTCCTCCACTTCAACCAACCAACTTGAATTCTACTATTAACATCCCCATCTATATCACAATCGCTTTGAACAACGGACCCAAGGTATCTAAAT